AATGTCTATGAAATCTATGAAATTTATGAGGTAAGTCACTTTCCCGAGAGCAGAGCGATACGTAAATACACCCTGTGCAAATTGGTTATTGCTAGGAGCTGAGAATCCCCCACTTTCTGTCTGCTTGCAGTCTCATAATACGATAGAGCCAGGGCAGCCCAGTCACGGGTCAGGTCTCCATCACGGTGTGATGGAGTATCCCCTCACAAGGGACCACAAGTGAATACAGGCAGGGGAGCAGGAGGAAGCAGCAAGGCAGTGTTGAGCAGCATGATAGGCATTGGTCTCTGCACAACAGCTGCGTTAATGCTGTCAACCCTAGTGTGGGTTAATAACTGGGAAAGCCACTGCCTGGCATGGCACTGAGCTTTTCATTGCGTTAGAGCCGAGTCCCGTTGGGGTATCAAATCCTTTCCAGAGCCATGCCTGCCACCATGGCCCCCGTGTAGAAGCAGTGCAGAGGGCCGTGCCACCGTGACCCACGTGCAGAAGCGGTGCAGAGGGCCGTGGCGATGCGAGTGCCACCTACCTTGGGATTCCAGAGTGAAAACCTCCTGCGAATTGCTTCCAAGAGCTCTAGCAAGGAACTGCAGCCCTGTCACCCCCCATTTCAGGGCCGGCACTTATCTCTAGTGGCTGGCATCACGTGGTTTTTTGTTTTGTTTTGTTTTGTTATGTTTTTTGCCAGCCTCTCTCCTTCTGCCTCCTGTTTCATGAGAGAGGAAGGCGGCAGGGTTTCTATTGCACAGAACCTCCTGTCGTCCGTCAGAACGAGAACACGACCCGTTCGCAACTGAACTTTCAAGCCTAACATTTTAAAATGCCACACGCCGCCTTCAAAACGAGGCAGGGATTGAATTTTAATTTCTGGGTGCTCCATGCGGCTTGCCAAGACAACAGCGATGGATGGGAGGCATCAGGAGAGCGGCTGGGAGATGCGTTTTAGAGGCTGATGTCTGACCGCAGAAGAGTATCAGCTGCCTCCCTGCAATTTCCCGACAGCCAGCAACATAGCCGGTTGCTCCAGTGCTGTGGAAATGGCTAGATAAAGAACTAGATAGATGGGAAGACCAGCTTTGACAGTATCTTTCCATCTATCTAGGAAAGCAGCAAGAGTTAGAAGCATAGAAATGAGGGTGGGAAGGGACCTCGGAGGTCACATCTAGTCCAACTCCCTGCTCAAAGCAGGACCAGCCTCAGCTAGTTCGTCCCAGCCAAGGGTTTTTCCTAGCCGGGTCTTCAAAACCTCTTAAAAAAACACAAAACTTTCTAAGGGCTTCCACCTTTGTCTCACAAAGGACTCGTGCAGCAGAAGAACGCCACTCAGCATCCTGTCTTGGTTAAAAAGCCCATGCTCCAGGCTTGTTTAACCTCTGTCATTTTATAGGGTGTCCTGCTTACCCAGCAATCCTGCTATTTGACCGTCAGCGTCTCTGGGGCTCGGGTTAGCCGGAGCACAGCAAATCCAGAGCAGAGCCCCTCGCTGAGAACGCCTTTTGTCTAAGCTTGGGAGCTGTCTGCTCAGGCACCTCCATTAACATCAGCAGCGAGGGGTGATGGGAGAGGGGTCGCATCCTTTGGAACTTGTCGAATTAAAAGTTGCAGCCGTGTCCGCAGACACAAAGTGCAGCCCAGGGTAACTTTAGCACCCCGGGAACAAATGGACCTGGGTGGGCAAAGCTCCCAGACCTCAGCCCTCACCGTGCAAGTCTCAACTGGGAGATGGAACTGAAGAGACACGAGCACAAGAGGGAAGAGCCGCCAGGCTGGGGCCAGCTAACTGCCCAGGGCTCTGTCGTTCACTAACGTGACTGAGCTGTGCGTCTCTGTCTGATAGAGCAGATGAGACAGCCAGGAGCACGGCCACCCCGGACGGCTGCGCACTTGCATGTAATGCAATCAGCAGCAGTCCAGACATCTGATCCACCATCCATTGCTGATCTAGGGAGGCCTGATGAGGGCTTTTGTCCTTGTGGGGGCGTTTGCAGGGAAAGCAGGAGGGGCGCGGAGCAGGAACGGAGGTGCCCAGGCAGAGACAGGCATTGTCAGCGTGACGCAGTGCAGAGAGCATCCTTGGGTCCACGCAGAGGCACAGAGCGGGGGCCGGGGGTGGAGTCAGAGCGGTCTCCACACGGAAACGTGCTGTCGTGCACAAAGGCGGGTGCAATGAGGCCACATCTCTGGCAGTCCGGCGTGCATGGGTGGTCTGTGGCATTGCTTGTACTGGACCTTCTTGGGTTGTACTGGGCCTTCCTGCGTCTCCCTTTTCGGCCCAGAATCTGCCTCCTTGCAAAGGCCAAGGCTCATTTGTTCTCAAAAAAAGCACCCCAGACCAACCTCTCAGGCTCACACACTTATGCCTTTATCTCCTGCAGACGATGTCCACATGTCCGACAAGATCACCATCTCCAAGCAATTCAAGGAGAAGGTCATCCGCCCCATCCTGAAGGTATGGCAGGCTGGTTTCCTGCTGCCTGTTCACCCCTGGGGCGTTCTCTCGGGTTTCTCTACTGGGCTTATCCCCACAGTACCCGACCGCCTCCCCACCACACACGCACCGCCAACATGCAGAGTCCCAGCCTCTGGCACTGGGGGGTTAAGATGCTGGAGAAAGGTCGGCCACTGCCCTGTGCAGCCAGTAACCCTGGGCTGGTTTATAGGCAGCAGCATTGGCAGATCCCCCAAGCCCAACGCACATGCGGAAACCACGTGACCTGTCACAGTGACAGATTTCACAGCTTTGCTTCTGCTCACACGCTGGTGGGTTTCTTTTCGGTGGGTGCCACTAGTTATGCCTTTTCCCCACAAACAAGGAGCATGGATCTGCCATGCATGGCATGTTCCTCATATTAACGTAAAATCACCCCATCCTTTAGCATCAGGAAAGTAGCCAGCACTGTAATGCCCAGGGACTAGTCTTCGCCTGGATTTGGAGTCACCCAAGGTAGAGGGTTATTAAATTATGAAAGCATCTGGTCCATTCACCTCTTGCTGGTGAAGGATAGACTGGATTCTTCAATGCCTCTCTCTGGTTTTAAGAGGAGACTGTCTCCTGATTTTTCCATAGTGCCCATATCACCTGGTGAGAGCATCCTGGGAGTTTCACTACTTTTGAGTTGTTTCCACATAGATCTGTTAGCAGTGTTTGCACACTTAAGTGATGTGGGGTATTACCTCTTTGGAGCACTAGAGTGATCCCTCAACCCCACCCCGAGGGAGATCAACATTACCCTGGTGTACTGATAGAGAAAATGAGTCCAAAGAGGTTTGAGCCTGGTGTAAAGCATTCACGGACTTGGGGGCTTCTGTTTATGGGGTAGCTGCCCCAAGAGGCACAGAGTTTGCTTTCTAGAGGTTCAGAAACCTCCATTCCCTGCATTTGGAGCAGTGAGTGCAGGAGTCTCGGACCAGCCCCTCAGAAGCAAAATCCTCCACATTAGTCATTTAGACCCAAACGACTTTGTTGCACAAAGGAGCGGCTGAGGTCCCGGACTTGGAGCGTGGGAGGTCCCAGTGCTCAGCCCCTTCCTTTCCCCCACACATAAAAGTTCCTCTCTGTTGCCCAAGAGAAACCCACAATAACCAGGAAACCCTCAGCGTGGACTTCTGGTCCAGGCCTCTCAGCCCAGTCATTTCCAGCTGCTCGCAGTGTTGTGGCAGGTGCTGTTGAGAGCCATCAGGAGGTGGGATGGGGTCTCTGGGGGTCCCCTCGTGTGGTGCCAGCAGCGGCTGTTGCTGACATCTGCCCTCTGCCCCCGGCAGGCTCACTTCCGGCGGGACGAGTTCCTGGGCAGGATCAATGAAATCGTTTACTTCCTCCCCTTCTGCCACGCAGAGCTCATCCAACTGGTCAACAAGGAGCTGAATTTCTGGGCCAAGAAGGTAAAACCAACCCACAGCTGGATGTGCGCTGGGATGTGGGAGGGGTGTGCATTGCTTGATGCACCAGCAGGGCAGGAGTCCCTGACCACATCCTCATCCCAGGCCCTATTGGCATGTGAGCCTCGTTGCCATGCTGGGTCACGAACACAGTGAGGTTCCCCAAGTGTCATGTGCACCACCGCTCACACTCACTAGCGCTGTGGAGGGGAAACAGTGTGCTGCAATGCTTGCCTGTGTCCTGTGAGTCTTAGCTGTGCAGTGCCAGGCTCTCAAAGCCAGGCCACATCCCCCATGCAAACAACCTGCATGCCAAAGCCCCAGGGCTGTATGACAGTACCAGCATCCATCCCTAACGACAGTCTCCCGTGCGCCCACTAGAGAGTCTGGTAACATGCCGTGCCTTTCTCCCCCGGCAGGCCAAAATGCGGCACAATATCACTTTGCTCTGGGACAGGGAAGTGATGGACGTCCTGGCTGATGGCTACAATTTGCACTACGGCGCCCGGTCGATCAAACATGAGGTGAGGCACAGGAGGCGACGAGATTGCCATACCCTCTGCAGACAGCTCCACAGACTCCTCCTTCCCCACCAGCCTGCCTTCCCTCCAGGCTGTTGTGGAGACGCAACGAACCTCATCCTGGGGTGGGTTTTTGGATCCATCCTGCAAAGGCCATCACATAGCAAGGGGTAGACCTTGGGTGTATGCACGCAGCGTTCCCGTGTATGTACACATGCACACACATGCCAGGCACCAGTTAAGCAGGTGAGACAAAGACACAAGGGCTCCATCCCTTTATGCATCTTAGCTGTAAGAAGTTCCAAAACCACCAGGTCCTGTTGGGGCCCCGTGGACATACTGCACCCACACAGGAGAGCAGTTGCCTGCTCCGTTCCCCTGTGACATGGGAGCAGAGACACCACTCAGGCCCTTGACCCCAGCTGGTAAAGTCAGATAGGAAGCCAGGAGGGAGTGGCGCTGGGGGTGGGTGTCCCCTGTTAGGCTGCTCACGGCAGGAAGAGGCTGGGGGCAGGTTCCCTAACGGGGATGGTTGTTTCTCTACCCACCCCCTCCGCAGGTCGAGCGGCGCATTGTGAACCAGTTAGCAGCCGCCTACGAGCAGGACCTGTTGCCGCGGGGCTGCACCCTGCGCATCACGGTGGAGGACTCGGACAAGAAGCTGCTGAAAACCAAAGACAGCTCCTCCTTGGAGGAGACCGAGAGGAAGGCCCCGACGCTGCGGTTGGAGATCGTGGAGAAGGACAGCAAGCGCCGGAAACTGGACATCCAGGTGCCCCTGAACCCTGACAAGATCTCTTACTCCTTGTAGGCATGGGGGGCCAGGCAACAATAAAGTCACTATGACACTCAGACTTCGGAGAACAGCCCGTCTATGAGTAAGAGCAAAGGGGACGGGAGCCCAGCCCATAACAAAGGGCCAAGGGGCTCAGGGGACATGTGTGTTTTGTCACTGAATACCTTCCTGGGCCCCTACCGTCCTGTGGTCTCACCAACTTCGTTCAGGACCCTCCATCGCCCTCATAGGGTTGAACTCCATGCTGCCCTCCGACTCACGGGGAGAACAGACGGACGTGCCGCCATGTGGAAACCTTGGAGTGAGAGGAAATATAGGGGGAGGGAGGAGTGTTTCAGTGAGGAAAGAGAGGCAGATTTCAACCCACGCCAGTGCTAGAGAGTCTGGCTCTCCCTTGAGTCTATCCCTTTGCTCAGGAGAGAGCTGCTTGCCCTGCTCGGGCTGCAGAGTAGGGTGTGCTGCCTAAGGGCAGGTGCTTCTCCACGTTATGGCTTGATTTTAAAAGCTGCCATGAGCTCTCCAGCCCCCATGCGTGGGCTGTGTCACTGAACTTCAGTAGCTGCATGGTGCATACGTGGCATGCGGCTCTTTCTCAGGACAGTGGGCATGGCACAGGGGCAGGGAAGCCCACCTCCCTGAGGAACGGGGAAAAAAGGGGCACAAATGCAGCTCAGCTGCCTTCAGGGAGCCTTCTGCTGAGACCCTTCCACCCCCTGCTCTCGGGTGCATCCACCCAGCGAGGCTCCAGCCAAGCCCAGGCCTGCGACACGCCGGTGCAGTCCCGCTCTATGAGTGCTGCTGCCGTCGTCTCTGCGCTGGACTCGATCGTCTCCATTCTGCAAATCCTCCTTCTGGGAAGCAGCATCTCTGGGCCGGGCTGAGCCATAGCCAGCCACCGCGTCAGAGCAAAGTGCCCTGCTCCAGGCAAACGTGGAGCTGGGCCATCTCCTGCCAGCAGTAATCAGATTTGTTCCCTGCACGCTCGCAAGATCCTTCCTCTGCAGAAGGTTTAACTCTTCAGAGCCCTGTTGCCGTTGCCGTCGCCACGACACTCGGGTGCAGGGGGAACCGCTCGTGTGCAGGACCTGCTGCCTCTGGGCTCAGGATCTAACTTGTGTGTTTCGGTCAATAAAAGTCTCTGTTTTGTCTGGCATCCATAGCGTGATTCCCCACCGCCACCATCACCCTCGATCCCCTTGCTTAGCTGTCAGGCCTCGCTGCCACCTTTCTCAGAGCAGGGTCCCACATTTCTTGTCCTCTGTGCCAGGCCCCTGTCATTGCCCCCCAGCGGGTCCGAGCTCTGCTCTCTCGGAGATGATGCCGGTGCTGCCCAGCTCCCACAAAGCACAAGCTTGAAACAAGCATTTCAGGGGACAGCTGCTCTCTGGACACAACAAGCAGTTTATACATACACCCGCTGACCTGGGGCTTGTCCAGCTTCCCCAAGTAGTCTCAGGCCTTGTCAGCTCTGGAAGGGACCTCTGTCCCAAAAGCAGAGCAGTCCCTCTACACAGCTCCAGGCCTTCACGTGACGAGCTCTCGAGCCAGACTGTTTCCACCCGGAGCGAACCTTCACGGGGCCTTGTGTCCACGCAGGGCACGGAGGCTTATAGCAACCCCCAGCTTTTATGTCCCTTCTCTGACCCATGTGCCCATCACTAGACACCCCCAGACGGCCTATGTAACATGGATATGGTGGGTATGGGCTCTCCGGCGCGCCTGCGGCATTGTCACATCTCAGTATAACAGCGCTTGACTGCTCTGCTGATGCCGCCCCATCGCACGTAACATTAAGACCAATGGCTTGAAGTTGCAGCAAAGTAGGTTTAAGTTGGATTTCAGGACGCGCTTCTGTGCTGGTAGAGCAGGAGGCAGTGGACTAGATGGTGAGGGAGGGAGGGAGCTCTCCATCACTGGAGGGGTTCAAGGAGTGGTTGAGTGAACACTGGTCAGGGATGATCTAGGTGTAATTATGACTCTGGTCTACTATGGGGATTTTGCAGGCTTCTGGGCTGCGCTGCCTGTGACAAGGGGCCGGGAGGGAATTGATTTCCCCTCCTGCTGCTACATGCAAGGAAGTTAAGGTTAGATATTAGGACAAACTTTCTCATAAGGATTGTAAAACACTGGACCAGGTTACCTAGAGAGATTGTGGAAGCGCCAAATGGACCCGGCGGAGGGGGGTGAGGTCCCAGGATCTGAAGAGAGGGTGTACGAGGACTTACAGACCTGGCCCGGGGCTCGGGAGTCCTGGCCTCCGTTTGAGGCCGCGGGCAGGTCCTGTAGTCTCTGCAGCTCATTTCCCCTCTGCAGTTCCCTGCTCCCAGGTGAGGAGGAACGTGCTTGAGATGAAGAGGGGCTGAGATGGATAGGATGGGTGGGGGAAGGCGGAAGATGGGGGCAAAGAACAGAGTCAGGCCTGAACCTATGAATTTTAAACGAGCCAGGACTACAGAAAGGACGTGGACAAATTGGGAGAGTCCAAAGAAAATGGTTTGGGGGCTGGGGGCATGACTTGTGAGGAGAGGCTGAGGGAAATGGGCTGATTTAGTCTGCAGGAGAGAAGACCGAGGGGGATTGAATAGCAGCCTTTAAGTCCCTGCACAGGGTGCAAAGAGGATGGAGCTGGACTGTTCTCAGTGGGGGCAGATGACAGGACAAGGAGCAATGGGCTCAAGCTGCAGCGAGGGAAGTTGAGGTTGGATATTAGGAAAAACTTTCTCAGGAGGAGGGTAGTAAAACACTGAATCAGGTTACCCACAGAGGTGGTCGCAGCTCCATCCCTGGAGGTTTTGAAGCCCCTGGTAGACAAAGCGTTGGCTGGGGATGATGTAGTTGGGGCTGGTCCTGCTTGGAGCAGGGGTTGGACTAGATGTGACCCTCTGAGGTCCCTTCAACCCTCATTTTCTATAATGCTGAGACCTCAGTGCTTCGAGTCTTCCGTCTAACCCTACCCCTAAATCCTGACCCTAACCATAAGGCCGACCCAGTCAGCAGAGAGCAGCACCAGGGCCTGGGTTCATGCCGTAGGAGTCGCGAGGCCTTAGTTATGCTGAGTTATAGTTAAGCTAAGAGACTACAAAGGACTTCGGGCGCAACAGGCTTCACTGACTAGTCAGTGGCCTGATAAAAGATGCAGTGAGCCAGAAGGCTGAAGATGCCCAAACTTAGCCTGGGGGGTGGTCAAGATGACCCCTGGACCCCACTTCTTTCTGACTTAAGTCCTCCTTTCTGCATCGCACCCCAGCTCCAGGAGGAGCTCCTCTGCAAGCGCCCGGACCCATGCAGCCTGAGCCCCGAGAGCAGCAGCAGGCGGGTTGGGAGCCCTCCGGACCCCCGAGCACCTCAGAGCAACGCGTGCTTACGCTGACTTCAAAAGCGCAGCCAAATCGGCGCGTAGGGCCCATCCTCGACCGGGGGGCGGCCGCCCCATAGAGGCAACTCCCATGTGTGGTAGAGCTCTGGCCTTGAAAGCTTTTGCTGGTTGCCCGAAGAGGCCCAGAAGCTATTTTTTTTTGCCCCTTGTGAGTGCTGTTGTGGGCGTCTGCCTTGCAGGCGGACAGAGTGGGGGGCATGTGTTTCCCTTAGAGGCGCTGGGGACTCCAGGACCCCATGCTGGAGGGTCTTGCCCCTCCACTCAGGGACAGGTCAGCACCAAATCTGGGGTTGGGGCTTCAGTCAGATTGGCCGGGACGGTGTCAGAGGTTTGCCCTTTTCCTGGGCCCTGCCGATCAGACACCAGCCTTCTTCCCTGTGGCGGCAGGGGCAGCGCCCGCATCTCCCTCGGTTTTCCCCGGGACGTGTTACAGGCCGTCCTTGGCAGCTTGGGTTTGGTGCTTCACGGTTACATGCGAGTGTCGGCACATCCAAGAAGTGGAAAGGGGAGGGAGCAGTAAAACAACACCAATTTTACTCCAGTTAAAAAGACACTAGAAGCTTTACTAATACACTCAGGGCCTCTGGCTGGATTATGTTTAAGACAAGCAAAAATAACCCAAATATAACTTCATTGGCATGAATTGCACACAATCTGCGGGGCTGTGAAATAGGAGCTTCGTGACCAGGAGCAGCGAACAGGCGGCAGCACGGCAGAACGAAGGGGAGTTTGATTGGCGGGAGCATCAAGGCCATTGAGCAGAAGACAGGGTTGTTAACACCTGTAAGAGGAAAAGTTTAGAAGGAATTAGGTAGATTTTAATGAGTTGTGAAGTCAATTGATGCCCTTAATGCTGCCTGAGTAGAAATGCCACTGCCGCTGCCAGGCGGGGGGTTTTAAACTAGGTGGAGCAGGAATCAGAAGGTTGCAAGGGGGCCGGGTCTGGCCAGTTGCTGCATCACTGGGACTTGCTCTGTTAGGCCAGTCAGGATGGGGAGGATGCCCCTGGACACGAGGCCTTCGGCATTGCCAAGCACGGCACCTACAAGCCGTGGGCACTTTTGCACCAGCTGAGCTAAGTAACTTGACCCAGGTCACCCAGGGAGTCAGTGCCAGAGACAGAAGCAAGGTCATGGCTAAATTGCAATTGCCTCATAGTTTAGGAGGGCAATGGGCTCTTTTCCCAGCTTGTTTTTGGACTTCCCGTGTGTCATGGACACATTCTCCTTCATCTGCTTGTCCCAGAGTGCCTGCGAGTGTAAACGGGGCCTTGGCTGCCTTCCTGCCTCCCCGTGGCCTCGCCGCTGCGTGCCACAGAGAGCCCCACAGGCGAGGGCACGGGGCATGTTGGAACGGCCACCGACCCAACACACCGATCGCTGCACAGCCCATGGTGGGAAAGGGGGAGCAGTTTCAAGTCCAAGTCCCTTCCAGCCCCGCTTCTCCATGATATGACTTCTCTGCGGCTCTTGATGCCAGGTGGAAGATGCCCAGACACACCGGTGACGAGATTACTCCAGACTGCTGCCGAAGCTGCTTCACGTCTACCGGAGGAGCATCCGAAAGCAGCCGGGTGGCAGCTTCAGGGCCCCGAGGGATCCACCCTGCCCTGGAGCCAGCGTCTGACGCTGCAGAGGAAGGCAGGCAAAGCCCCCTGGGACCTGACGGTCCTTCCTAACCCC